CCCTCTGTCTACAGGAATGGTGACAGTCCACCAAATGGCAAAACTGATCCAGCACTGTGCCAAGGCAGTCTTTCCCTGTCTCTCTCCCTCATCTCCCAGCTGCCTGATTCCATCTTTCCTTTTTTACTGTTCAGCTAAGCACCAGAGGGAATACAAACAGGAGAAAAGCAAATCATAGTGCCTTGCTGGGTTAAAGCTAAGCTCAGGCTCACTCTGAGAGCTGGAACATGGGGCATTAGTTAGGGCAGTGTAGGAGCATGGCCATGCTCTGTATCTGATCAGGCCCCTGGTGCCAGGGACCGGCCATGTGATGTACCTCATTCCCTTGGGGAATGGCTTCCCATTTAATCTGGGAGCAGAGGATTGTTTAGTCCATTCTTCTGGTTTACTTAGTGAAATGAAGATATTCACCATGGACTTTAACCAGGGCTGTGACTGAGCTTTGATTCAAATGCAAGCTTGTCAGAGGCATTGTCACCACATCTGAAGACTGATAACATTTTAATATCAAATAAATTTTATTATTGCTTTCTTCATCCTACTTTTATCTGATCTTTGAGGTAATTCAAATTAACAAAGATATATGCAATTGCCATTACTACTCCCACTTAGCTACATATGTGGGCAGCCTTATTTCATAATTAGTCTGTTACTTCTGTTTATCATAAAGTTAATATTAAGCTGAAGTAGAACAAAGTGCATTTATTCCAGAACAAAAATCTATGCATGTGGATTTAGTAAAGAGCAGTTATTTTGGCATTTGCAACAGCTGTTTAGAAAGCTCTCACAGTTTAAAAAAAGACCTGCACTTCCCAAAGTATACATTTCATGATTCAGAGTAATATATTTTACCAACTGCATTTTGGGTTTTTTTTCAATAGCGATTAAAATAGAGATTTTTTTTTTTTGGTTTTGTTTTGTGCAGAGACTGATAAACTGTAAAAGGCTGCAGCATCAGTTGCTCAAGTAGAAAGAAGTGTTAAAAATGAGAAAGCTGCTTTAAAAAGATATATTTTTAAAAATATCTATCAGCATAGGTTAGAAATGTGTTCAAAGGGTTAGGGCAGTGGTTAGGGTTAAGTTTAGGGTTGAGAGAGTCAAAGAGCCTACAGCTCCAGGAACACTGGGGCTGGAAAAGGCATGGCAAGTGATCCTGGCAGGGCCCCAGCTTTGCTGCACCTACACCTGCCAGCACCACACTACATCTGATTTTATGGTATGTAGTGTCTATTATGAATGTTACTTTTTTTCCTTCTTTTTTATTTCTCTTTGTTATCCCTAAATCCAGCTTCAGCTCAGCTTTTCTTTGACTGATCACTGGTGATCACAGCCATCAGGCCAGCCAAGCCTGCTGCATTTATATCCTTGTATTCCTCCACAAATCTTGTGCCCCCACTTCCCAAGGCTTCTGCTATTGCTCCATGCCTGCATTTCTCTGTGCTGCATCGCTGTGCTAGTCAGAAGTCTCTTTTTCTACACAGAATAACTGTTTGTTACTTTTGTTTATATAAAATAATGGTTGTACCACACACAGATAAACAGAAGAAAAACAAATTAGCCATAGACCCGGTTAATTATGGAAACTGCTGTCACAGCTAACCAAGGAAAAGATACAGAAGGGTTGAGTGAAGTTCAAACAAAGCAAACCTGACAAATCTCAGTCCTGAGGCTTTGCACATTCAGTACAAAGCTTATGACAAATTACTGAGAGTGGCAATATCATATTCCAGGGTTGTTTCTTTCAGCTCCAAAGGTCACGAGCAGGTAAGAGCAAGCTGCACACCCTATCACATAATCCATCATGTTTGGGTGTTTTTTTAGAATTCACAATGCTGGCATTTTTTTCTCTTTTGGGGTAGAAAAGACCATGCAAGAATTAGAGTCTCTGTTACCTAAACTTTTAAAAGTAGAAATTAGCTCAAATATTGCATATTTTTTACATGCATGGCACAGGGAAGGGTAGACAACAAGGGTAATGACAAGGATGGGCAAGGACTGAAATTGCTTAGCTCTTTCTCAAAAGATAAAAGAAAATCCACAGCCTCCCCAGCCAAACGAACATCAGACTCTGCTTTGAGATAGATAATCTCCTGATGTCTCTTTCAGTTCTATTGTTCTCTATTACTCGTTTGTTTTTTTATCTTAAATAAAAAATTCCTTGTGCATTCTCAAAATGGACAGGTTTTTTTTCAAATCTCCTTTGTCTTTTTGATAGATCACATGTGATACACGGATGAATGTCTCGATAAATCTTCTAACTCAGTTTAGGTTTTGCAAAATTTTCAAGTAGCCTTGTTTTTTCCAGTTTGCTTTTTTTTTTTCCTAAATCATGTCATTCTTAATTATATATATAAAGAATTTCTAATTTCACAATCACCTATAAAAATAGTGAATCTCGTGGGGCTTGGACTGCTATCACTTACTGTGTTTGTATAGTTGACATACAGATTATTTATCTCTCACTTAGAAAAATACCCATTCCTGAACTCTCCAGTTGGTGTTTTGATATTACTGTTATCTTCTTTTCCAGCACATACAATCTGTTGTGTTCCTGACTTGACCTGACATCTCTTTAATGCCAGTGGGCACAGCCCTCTTAATTCATCACTTCCTTCGCAGCTGCAATGCTGCACCACGGTCTGGACTGCACATGTTGATAGACAGAAGGGAGGTCTCTAATCCTATAACATATCCTGAGTGATTAACTCAAAGTAGCAAAATCTACCTTTTAGTGTGCCTTTTAAACGCAGGATCACTCCCAATACTGTAGTATTGAATACTTTTGTCAAGGCTTAGCCTAAGAATCTCAAGACTGCAATGGAGACATAACTCAGTCCCCCAGTACCGTCTCTGTTCCTTCCAGTGATTCCATTTTAACAACAAATCTCTCCTGTTACTTCAGTCTAAATTTCAGAGCTTGGCTGATCTGATATTTTGCCACTCCTACCCTGAGACCCATTGTATGCACAGAGCTTTTGCAGTTCATCTTAGCTCTGACCAGAGATGGAAAACAAAACCTCAACAACAACAAAACCCCTCATGATGTCCCTATTGCAACCATGGATGAAGTTTGTGAGGATGAAAAAAAATCAGCTGGATACTTAATATTTTATGGTAATGGTTTGACTTGGTTCTTGTCCAAAGAGGTACAAGATCTCGAGTGAGAGGAAATGCACATCACAGGGGTGTGTCTCATTCCAGTATGTTCCTCAGGGATGGAAATGCATTGGTCAGCAGCAGAACCTGTAAAATGGAAGAAGACTGAGGGATGCCTCTACTCACTTGGGCCAATGTCTGACAGGATGGGCTCTGCAGGGTTATTGTACAACACCAGCTGGAAGCCAAATGAGCAATTAATGATGATACAATGTTTTGAAATTGTAGAATGCCATTTATGGCCCAAAGCAGCTCTTCGGAGTGGGAAATGGTCTTAAGATTCTGTGCATTCATTGACCTTTCTGAGAACCATTTCACAACTAAAAGGATAATGAAGGGAAGGTAGTTTACAGAGTGAGGTATTTTCTGCTGCAGAGCTGCTCAGCAGCACCAGAAGGGCCACACTCTGCATTCTGTTCTGGAATAAAAGCATACTTTGTGAAGGAATTCACCTTTAAAGGGCTGTCTGCCTAAGTGCTCTTCTGGAATAGCTCTTGCGGAATAATACATTTTTCAAAAGCTGTGCCAGCCTTGTGCTCCCAGGATTGGATTTTGGTACTTATAAAAATTGCTCGATGTTTGGGATGGGGACCCTGCGAGCACTGCTGTGGTGTGCTGATGATGGCACAGGGCCCTGGGTTTTGTTGCTTGGTTTCCTGACTTGGCTAAGAAATGGCTTGGAAAAGGTGCCCTTAACCTCCCACCGGCAGAGGGTGGGGAAGTTTTCGCAAGCCCCTCGGAACAGGCGGAGATGCTGCTCCGATCCCTTCTGCCATTCCAAGCCCACACAAGGGGCAGCCTGGAACTCCTCCTGCTCGCAGGAGATGTGATGTCTCCTTGACATGCAGTCCCGTACCAACTGTGCCACCAGAGGCGAGCTAAAATGAGCGACTGCTTTCCAAATACTGTCTCCAAGAAGCCTGCAGATGTCTCACAGAAGTGTTCATATCCTAAAAAGCACCTTTTCCATCCTTTTAAAATGGCAGATTAAGTCATGTGTATGACTCAGCCTCATTTTCTTGTCCTGTGACTCCAGGCAAGTCACTTCTCTTCCAGCTCCCTGACAGGTTTTGGCCATCCAATCCAAAAACGCCGTGTGTGCCTGGCTGAGGAAGATGCGTGAGCAGCACCCTGGAAAAACAAAAGGCAAACCTGCGTTGATCTAAATGCCTTCCAAACCAACGCGCTGTTAACTAACGTTGTTTTTCCCAGCTGTAGAGTGAGGGCAATGCGATATTCCGGGTAGACGGCGATTAGAGCAGTTGATAAAACACGGGCGAAGGACTGACCGAGCACGGACACTGAGGCGGCCTGCGGCGCGGGGCGGGTGAGGGAAGGGAAGGGCCCGGCCCGCCCTCATGGCGCCCCCGGGCCCCGCCCCGCGCCGCCGGCGGGAAGGCGGCGGGGCCGTGCCCTCAGGAGGAGCAAGGTGGGCGGCCGAGCCTTCGCCCCGGCTGCTGCACCCACCTTCTCCCCCGGAGCTGCCCGGGCGTGAGCTGGGGATTTAATTACTGTTCTAATTTTGATGGGGATTTACGGTGCTCTGCGGGGGGAGGGAGATTCAGCGGTCCCTCGCCCTTTGGGAACAGAAATGTGCATCTCATGAGGAGGCAGCTGGCAAAGAAAAGCCGAATAAATCTGTGCGTTGATAACGATTAATCAGTTATTTTCCTCTGAGGCAACAGATGTGAGGCCGCGCCGCGGAGCCCCTTGGGGCAGGTCGGATCGCCCCCGATCCGGGAGCCGCGCTCTGCTGCCATTTCCTGCCGGCCAAGCCCGGGGGAATTGCGGGGAGTGGGTCCCTGTCACACCCGCAGGCTGCAAGGACACCGCGGTGTCCGGGTCTTGCTCTCCTGCCCTTGGGTCCTTGAGGTGGCACAAGATTGTTGGTGGTTTTTCATGGATTTGCTCTGTTGTCTCAGACTTTCACCCTTTTATCTGTTTCACTGCAGGCAGTGGTGACTGGAATCCTTCAGGTGTGCCAACACACACCAGCAGCAGGACAACAGTTCACTAAGCAGGAGGATTTTTTTCGTACCTAAAGCTTTAAATAGGGTGAGGTATAATTTCTCCATTTTCCCTAATAGCCTGCAGGAAGGCACAGGTCCGGGTCTGCCTCGTTTTTCTGCTGTGAGAAGCCAATTGCCTAAGGATGGGGAGTAGGAGAACAATCCCATAACCTGCTCAACGGTGGTTGAAGTCCAGGATTATGTGCATTTTGGGAGGATGTTTTTAATGAAGAAGGAGATTGTAATACAGTTTTAATGTCTCTTGTATTACTTGTTTTTCTTGCTTCGGTATTTGAAGCTAAGGGATTTTTCAAATCTCCCAAAGTATTTTTTAATTAGTGTTTTGCTGTAATTATGTGAAGGCATGATTTGTCACTCCATAATTGTCAGAGTTCTGAAACAGAAATTAAATATACCATGACACTGTCAGAAACAACTGATTTTATAAGAATGTTTCCATTAAATGCTAACAGAATAAGACAATTCAGAAATTCTGATATCCTGTTCCTTTCTTACCCAGCCTCTATATACACAAGATTCTTGCAAGCAAATTAGTATCCATTTATAAGCTGAAAAAAAGACCTTTTGCAGATACTTAGCCTAAACTATCCCAACCTCTGTTAGACATAACCCATCTTATAGTTTGTGGATTTTGTTAACAAATGAGCAAGTAAATATATGCAGACATTTTGATGTGGTGGTCTACAAAACTTTTGATCATCCAGAGCTAGAACACCAAGTGTAAGCTCACAATTTAAACAGAAGAAACTTAACCTGTTTACAAAGCCACAAAAATGATACAGTAGTTTGGTTATAAGATCATATTTCTAAGGAACTACTTTGTATTCACCATTCTTGCATTCATAAAATTTATGGAGGTCACACTTTGCTCATTTAACCACGGTGTCACTAAGTGCCTATTCTAGTTCTAGGCCTTGCTTAAAGGAAGCCACATGGAGAGGGCAGTGAAGCTGTGCTGGAATACAGACATGGCAAGTTAGCCATGAAAAAAAACATGAAATGAGCTCTCTGTATATGGGTTTGCATAATAAAAGTTGCAGGTTTTTATTACCCTTCTTTTGTTCTCTCCATGCAAGCATACTCCTAACAGCCATTACCTGCATGTCTTCAGCACTTATTGGTCATTTTGAACCTCAGCAAGAACTTCAAAACAAATGTATCTTTAATAATCTGCTCTCAAGATACATCACTAAGGAGTTGTAGCCTTCTCAGCACTGTTTTGTGAGTTTTCTGTCGCATAAAGATGGAGAGGCTCAGCTGTTGCATTGCCTTTTCTTTACCCATTCTGTCTGCAACTATGCTGACTTTTGTTATAAAAACACAGACTGCCTTTAGCACTCTTACCAGAATAAATTCCACTAGTGATAATTCATTTTAAATGTTCCCACCTCCAAAACTCATCTCTGAGCCAAGATTCTCACAAGGCAATGAGATCTCTTTTCCTAATACCTATGAAGGCCTTTCTAGCCAAACTGGTTCATCTGAGTGTAAAGCCATAGATTTTCTCCTTTTGGCCTGGTAGGTCAGATAATGAAGAGTCGGAAGAATCCAAATTCAAATCCATATATGATGTCATACTGACATGTTTCTGTAGTTCAAGGACTTCTTTAAAGTCCTTTTACAGACATTTACTCATTTATTGCCTCCCATGACTGTCTTTGCATTTCCCACTAGTGATCAATACTTTATTGCGTGCTCTTTCATGATGAAGGCCATGGAGGATCAAGTAGTCCAAGAAGAACCAGGATACCAGGATGATGAGGTAAAATTGTTTTTGATTGAAAACTATGTGCAGGAAACATCTGAAGTTATTTTGATAGTGTTAAGACACCCATGGAAGGACAGGAGATCCCCAAAAATCATCAGGGAGTTCAATGCATTTAAAATTTTTTTCCAGTCTGCTACAAAGAAAATCTCATTCCCCATGTCCCTGTACAGCCTGGCTCTCCAAGTAATCTTCATTAACCTTTCAAAAGCTGTGCACAGTTTTTAATGGGATTATCATTATTTCATCATATTTTACACTTCTATATTGAATGCAAGTTAATTTTCTGCTATCAGTTAATTTTCCGCTTCTGAAGAATGATCATCAGCGCGAAAAGAGTGAGAAATTGTGGCAGAAAAGCTGAAGATTATGATGGTGCTAACACAAGTTTTATTAGCACAGCAGAGGATTAATTGCCTGTGAAGATACACTTTATGGAGAAGATGATAGGAAACATGCAGGCCTTTCTGGCTCACTATGGCTTTGCTTATTTCAGTTGTCCAACAAGTTATGTATTATTTGTGAAAAATCAATGTTTACAAATCTGAAACAGTCATGTAGTGAGATATAGATGTAATAACAAGAAAAAGCAACATCTGTTTTTTTTCTGCTATTTTGTTTAGGAATCCTTTTTTCAGGATATTGACCTGCTGCAGAAGCATGGAATTGTAAGTATTAGCAGTCACTTGATCACACAGAATTGTCCCTCAAAAGCTACTGTGAGGTTGCTTCCAAAATGGTATACACGTTGATGCAAATAACTGAAATTCCTCCTTGCAGTAAGTTCTAACTCAGTCAGTGGAGACAAATTTTGCCTTTGGTGACAAGACAGATTTTTAGAAAATCTCATTCACATCAGATTCCTAAATAAAGTGTCAAGATACTCAAAGTATTTAGCACCTAGCTCTCTTGAAAAACCAACTGCTTGCTAATTTATTTGAAAACTGTGTGATAGATTATTTCCTGTTCCTGCCAATCTTTGTAATTACTCCTGCATTTTTGGTGCCTGTGAAATTACACTGTGACAATTGTTACCATACTATTTTCAGCATGCTGGTGCAGGGGGTAGAGTAGGAGTGAGGAAAATATTAGTAGCTAGAGAAATAAGTGGTTAGTTTTCTTCATCAAATGTGAATTTCTATCATTGCTACCATCATCACATAAACATCACCTATTTATTTTAATTACAATTATTATATGTTTATCTAGGAGACTGGCGCATGGATTGGAATCCTGTTATAGTCAGAGTTATAGAAGCAGAATAAAAAAGTTAGGTGTGCCTGAAGTAATGTGAGATTTGGTAAAAGTGACTTCAGACACATAAAAATGGGAAGAACACACCACAGTGACTCATCATTAGTCAGCACTGTAGTTACTGTGCTGACCACGTCAGCAGTGCAAGTGTTGGCAATTTTTTTTTTAATTGGCAGTTTTAAAGATAGTTCTGAAGAAGGATCACATGGTTGGGAGCTCAACCTATGGGCAACATAGGAAAAATAAAAAAATTATTGCTCAAAAAATTTAGCAAGCTGATCAAAGAGGGTGACCTGAGCTGGGAGGGAGCTGTACTACCCTGTCAATATGAAACAAGGCATGGCATTCACAGAATGATACAAATGTATGAAAAAGTTTGAAAACTAAGAATAGTTACTTTGGCTGTTCTTCTGGGCTTGTAAAGGTTTTCTGCTCTGTTCCATTATTTTTTTTCTTTCTTCCAAGTGGTTATTCCCATACCTCAGAGGAAGTTTTTGTTCTCAGCTGTGCCAGCTAAAAGCTTTGTGCAAACATAGGATGACCTATATATATTAAATTCGTTTACCTGGAGAAATAATTTTTGTTGGTTTAGAATTTTTTTTTCAAGGAGTAGAGAGAAAAATATTTACTGGTGTGTGCCCAGAAAGAGAATCAGATTAGAACAACTGAGACTGTGATTCGGTGATCCAAAGTATTTGGTAGGATTTAAGGTGCTGTTACCCCTCAGCCTCTGCTGAGTGTCACACATGTATCACAGGATGAGAAATAAGCTTTGAAATAAACATGACTAATTTCTCACACAACTCCCCCCCTCCCTTTTTATGCTCTATGTACCCACACACTCTAGATAAACAGACTATATGTCCAGTTCATTTTTTTTTCAAAGAAAAATCTTGGCCAGAAATGGCAAATTGATGTATTATCCCACACCTTTCACACAGTATGTTGTCTTGTGAGTAATCTGTTCTTGCTTTTACATGTCCAGTGATGTCAGAATCATAAAATGAAGTGAAGGAAGGTAAAATATGTCAGTAGGGTGCTGTCTGAAGTTGTGCTGTTCCCAGTTTATGAAAAACGAGTAGCTCACTCCACCCAAAGTGTCAGTCAGGTCTGCAGGATACATGTGTTTTAAACTGGACATGCAGAAATAGCACAGCAGTTAGACTCAGTTTGCAGTGATCCGTGTGAATCAGCTGCCAACTACCCACCACCAGCTTATCTGGTTTACAGATTATCTGTGCTAAGGGACCAAGGACAGACTGAGTGTTACAGGGTCCACACTATTTGAAGTAATTCTGTACTGCTTCTTTACTATCAGCTGTGATCTAGAAAAACTGGCACTGAAAGGGGAGAGGTAAATACCCAGACATCTTTCTCTCAAAACCATCAGGAGCTGCTCTCTGCACCACGATCCCTCACACCAGTGTTACTCAAAATTTTGTTTTGATGGTGTCGCAAACTACACAATGAAGAGTTTTCTGTAAATCTGTTTCTTTCCTGGTGAAAACATAGGTATATAAATGTAAACGTAAAATATTTTGCAAAGGTTTACTTCATCTTCTAGATGTTAACTGTCCTGAGTACTCACAGAAGGGAAATTTCTTTGCAGAATGTAGCAGATATTAAAAAGCTGAAGGCAGTTGGGATTTGCACAATCAAAGGAATCCAGATGACCACAAGAAGGGCACTGTGCAACGTGAAGGGGCTCTCAGAGGCCAAAGTGGACAAGATTAAAGAAGCTGCAAACAAGCTTGTTGTAAGCCAGTCAGTTTCCTGAGAGTTTGAACTTAATGCTGGCCTCTCCAAAATGCTGTGCAAAATTTCTCTTAGCGGATTTCCCACTGCATCATCAAAATAATTTTGAAAATTATTCTTCCTGTTACTCTAAGGCATAATACTTTATGCTCCACAACCACCAGACAAATGCTGTGGTGCTTTTTATACCCAACCCACAGGAATGAGGCTAGGGGGGAAAGAAGATATTTATGCGGAATATTGCACTTTTAACTTCAGGTTGAAGCTAAAATAAACCTCTTGTGTTCTCTTTGGTCCTCCCTAGGAACCAGGCTTCCTCACTGCTTTTGAGTACAGTGAAAAACGGAAGATGGTATTTCATATTTCCACTGGCAGCCAGGAATTTGAGTAAGCTTATCTCTTACATCTTTCCTTCATCCAAATGTTCCCAATAATCATTTTAATTGTCTTTAATGAGATACAGAAATACGAGGGAATAAATACTCAGCTAGGACACATAGATTCCCCTTGCATTTGGAGTTAGTGCTGGCTTAAAGAAGTCTACATCAATAAGCACCAAAACTACTTTCCTGAGAGGAAAATGGACTTTGTACAGTCGCTGTAAATAAATAGTTGGCATCCAGAAATCTTGATGGTATAATTTTTTTGCCTATCAAAATAATCTGCAGGTTTCAGGTGAAAATTACCAGTCTTCAAGTCTTCCCTTGAGATATTCTTATGGAATGTTATTTTCAAATATTATATTCAATGTTATTTTCTCTCCTTTCTTGCTAATAATAATTTGTATTGATCTTTCTCTTGCACACAAAAAGGGAAGTAAAGACAGAGATAATTCTTTATTAATCAATGATCATTTAGTGCCCTGCACTTCATGCATCAAGTGAGGAGCTATAGGGCAGAAATTACTTTCCTTAAAGTAGTAAAAATGTCTCTGTTTTACTTTCCTTTTGTGGTTTTTTGGGTTTAACTATAACATAATCCTCTCCCTTTCTGCAGTAAACTTCTGGGTGGTGGGATTGAAAGCATGGCAATCACTGAGGCCTTTGGAGGTGAGAAAACCACAAATGAGTTAAACCAAACAAATAATTGCAACTTAATTTAGATTTTAATTCAACTTGGATTACTTCTATCAAATTTACCACATTGTCGTTACAAAGATGAGTATCTGCATGAGTGCAAGAAGAAATAATCCACTTCTCTTTATGTTTTCCCCTTTTTCCTCTTCATTTGCTTGCAGACTAACTTTGAGCTGAAGTAATCATTACTGGGCATGCTGATTCAGCACAACATAGCATTACTAAGACTATTAGTAACTTGCCAGAGTTCTCCCTGATGCAATGTAACAAAATTGCCACAAAAGGTGTTTTAGTTATGCACACCTAAGGTACACTGCATTTTATGTAAGATTTTGAAATTACAATTAAGCTACTGTTACAGTACACCAAATTAGTTGGTGCTTGACACTTCAGCAATAACAGTTCATAAAACACAGTAGTTCATAAAACACAGTTTCATAAAACTCTTCCCTTTAGAAGAGATAAACTGGAGACTAATGTGTTTTGCTAGAATGAGATTAATAAACTTGTAAGCTTCTCCTTGATTATTTTACTGGAAATGAAACTGGTCTAGGTTAATGGAATCAACCATTTCTTCCCCACCCTGCCCCCTCACTATCACTTTTCCACAGGTGCCATATGGTTTTAACTTCCACACACAAGAGAATGACTTCAGCAGTCAAGCACGATCAAATTAAAGCATTTCAGATTTTGCTTTTCATGTAACACATTTCTCCTGCACAGAATATGATTTAGAAATTGAGGTTAAATGATTTTAAAAGGTAGAGATTGAGGTGAATTTTGGAAGTAAGGGTTTCTAACTGCAGTAATTCCTGAATCTGTCAAACTTTGAAAAATAAACCCTGACTCTTCTTTTCCCTTCTCTTTATTTAACAGAGTTCCGGACAGGCAAAACCCAGCTATCTCACACTCTTTGTGGTAGGTATTACACCTTAAAATAGTGATGTTTCTTCTCAGTGAATTCATTGTTTACCACTGTATCAGAATTAAACACATAGAGAAAAGTCAGAACCTTTTATTTCTACAAATACAGTGAAACAGACCTTGGTGACTCTTGCCTCCATAAACTGTGTTTGAGTAGAGAACTCATATAAATGGTTGCTTTTTAATACTGCTCACATCCATGAAAGTTGTGCAGCTGTTTTGGACAGACCAGTGAAACACACCATCTGGAAAAGCAGAGCACAAATATGGGTCACATGTAGATGGGGCATTGCTCAGAAAAGGGCAGAGGAAAAATTTTTTCTCAGCAACTCTTTGAGTGTCCTGGTTTCAAGAGGTTTTGCTGAATATGACATTCTGAAAGGGCACTGGAAGGGTACTACTGGCTGTCAGTGCCTGCATAAACAGACTTTGGCAGTCACCATATATGGGAAGTGCCAAAAACAGCAGGACTCTGATTCCCAGAGATATCTCTCAATGTGTAAAGAGAGGTAAGCAATAGCTTATATAACTATTAATGCTGCTGGAATTACCAGACACTGGGTAGGCAAATTCTATTAAATTAACCCCTATATTGTAAAGTGAAATATGGCATGTTCTGGAAAAACAAGGCCTCTTCTGGTTAGTACAGTGTAATGGTCACAGAGTCATACCCTTTTGCATGAATGATCACAACTGGATTGAGTATTTTAGCTTATTCACTCCAAAGAGACTACACCCACAATCAGCAGCTATTTGCATATCAGGAAAAAATCATATCCAAAGAATTTTTGATCATATGAGTTACAGCTGGAAAAAGTGCCTACTAAGTCAATAGAATTAATTGGGCAGAGGATAAGAAGAGATTTTGTGTGTAAGAACTCACAAATAATATCCCTAAAATACTCAGATTTAGTGATGGTACTGAGTAAAACAGTTTTGACACCATTAATTAAATCTCATCTGATCTGCAATCGAGAAAAGCGGCTTGAGTTGATTCTCAAGATGGCAGTAAGATAAGACACTCCTGATTTTCACATTGATTAAAACTGGCAGTTCTTTGTGATATGGATAAACAGTTGTATTTTATTTAAAAAATAGTCATAGATGGAGTAAGAAAATATTTTTTTCCTGCTTTTTCATTTTAATCTTGTATGCTTCTCTGTAGTGACAGCTCAGCTCCCAGGACCAAATGGCTACACAGGTGGAAAGATTATCTTCATTGATACTGAAAACACTTTGTATCTTTTTGACTGGTGTGATGTACTGGAAAGTTAGTTAATTTTAGTTAGTCATAAGGAAGCTTCATATATGTAAATCATGACTGGCACAGAAATCCTGGAGAGCACAGTGTGTAGTGGCCCACAAGGAAGTGAGTTTTTCTTTTGTCATTTGATGTAATCCAATCTGGAAAAATTAGTTAAGAATTAGATTTTATTTTAACGGGGACTTGTTTGTTTGTTTGTTTGTTTTTGGGGGTTTTATGTTTTTGTGATCTAGTAGGCCTCCTACAGGTTATAGCAGCTTTTCTATTCAAGATAAATTTATCTAAGTACTAAACACTATTTTTAACATTTCACATTTGCAGTAGACTGTGTATAAACAGGTTTTGCTCACAGCTAAATTCCTAGAGCACAGATATCCATATGTCAACCCCCCGCCTCAAACCCTAAACACAAAACAATTACCATCGTGAGCCCTAAACTATCTTTAGGGTACGTGGGACAGCCTGAAGACAAAAAGTCAGTCTTCTCTAGGACAAAAATAGACATTCTTCTTTTTTTTCCCCCCCCATAGTTCTATTTTGGAATGGAGTTTTATTATTTCAGAGCATGGTTTGCACAAGGAGAAATCCTTAACTGTGACTCATGCCAGCCGACCAGACCGCCTGCGTGACATCGCTGATCGCTTCAATGTTGACCACGAGGCAGTGCTTGACAACGTGCTGTATGCACGTGCATACACCAGTAAGACCATTATTGCAATTGGCATGATAGCTAGGGTTTTTTCCTCTCAGGTTTTTTCTCTCTCTGTTTCCATTTTAATAGTTCTCAGTTTATTAACACTTCTCAGTTTCTTAACAGCTCAACACGCTCTCTGTCACAAGACACCGCTTTAAAACATCAAGAAATTTTTAAATAAGACTTCTTTAAGGGTGCAATATAAACATAAATAATACGATTAAAACATTTTCTGTGTGTCATTTAATTCAACATTAAATTAAAATGTATACATTGCTTTTCAGTTCTTAACACGACAAACAGTTGTCTTCATGCAGAGTGAGGATTTTCACAAAGAAGTTTTGTGAGATGGGTGAGAGGAAACTGGAACCTGCAAAATAGATTGTTACTGGGCACTGGGTTTAAAACTGCTGGCAATGAAAATATAACCAGTGCATACATTTAAAGTGGAATTTTAAAATTCAGGCTTTTGTTCCTTCGGAGTTCTTTCTGATCCTAATTTCTCTTGGCAACTGCTTCCCACTAGGTGAGCATCAGATGGAATTGCTTGACTATGTAGCAGCCAAGTTCCATGAGGAAGCTGGTATCTTCAAGTTATTGGTACAAGACTTCTGTATGCTTACTGTTCTCAGAATAAGTGTTCCTGTTTTCTTTTGCTATATTTACTTACCTAGCATGATTACAATGCAGATCATTGACTCCATAATGGCACTTTTCCGTGTGGATTTCAGTGGTCGTGGAGAGTTGGCTGAACGACAACAGAAACTAGCTCAGATGTTGTCAAGGCTCCAAAAAATATCAGAAGGTATGGGAAACATTGCAAGATTTGGAAAACATGGGCTGGAGTCACTACCAGTAGCTGTTGGTAGCACAACAGTAGTCCAAGTGTATTACCAATCAGGCACTGGCCCAGGGAGCTTTTATCACTTTACACCTCTGTCAGTTACCAAAAAGATCAAACTGATAATATATTATTTCAAGATGACAGACTGAGAAAACTTAAGAACTTTCCAACATTTAGAGTTTTTCAAGAAATACTGTCAGGCCCTAAATGAGATAATAGGTTGTGGAACTGGACAAATACTCAGTAATTGTCTTCCCCAAACTTCAACAGTCTAAATACAAAAGAAAGACGGAGAAAAGAGGATGAAGGCATAGAGAAATAAAAATGCCGTGCCTCTTGCCACTTTCTCAGCACTTTGCAATGCTTTGAGGGATGATGACAGGATGAATAGAGTTCCTTCTCTTTGGAATGTCTCAGAAATGTTGATGAGGAATGAATAAATGCTTTTTTCCTGAAATTAAAAAAAAAAAAGGCAAACAGAGAAAGGGAAGGAGAGAGAGCTGAGGGCAGGGAGCCAACAGGGAATAGATGGGAACTGAGGAAGACTTGTTCACTGGAATTGAGAGAAGGGCTCATTTTTGGTTATTACAGCTGAAGCCGTGCAAGAGCAAAGGCTATGTCCTGATTAACTGCAGCCATCAGTCATAAAGAATATTTTCTTCTCGTTCATTTGAAATCTGAAGTGCTTCAGCAGAAACCTTGCTTTTACCATGGATGAGAGAATATTTTGGAATTCTAATTGAATGAAGTCTACTTTCTTTGCAATGTCTTCTCTTGCAGAATATAACGTGGCTGTGTTTGTGACCAACCAGATGACTGCTGACCCAGGAGCAACCATGACGTAAGATACTTTATCTTTCCCTTTTAAAAAAAATTCCTGTATTTTGTATTACGTATTTAACAGAAATGAGAATTGAGATTGTAAGGTGCAAGAGGCACTGAAATGAAAGATCAGATTGGTCATTGTTCCCTGTGCTATTAGGAATTCATACATAAATGACCTCTGGAAGTTTCTCTCAGTTTTTTTGGAATCTTTTTTACATGTATCTGCTGCCTGCTATGGTGGTGTGATTTCACTGTGACTTAAATAAAGAAAATGAGCTATAAAAAATATTGAAAAAGCACCACATTTTCCTTTGGAGCAGCTTATATGTGATATTTAAGGCGTGCATTTCTTGAGCCTATTGAATGTAATGACAGGAAGATGATGCCAGCATTGAACATTTGAACATATTGAGACAAGTGTGCTAAAGCTGAGTTTCTAATGTATTTCCCTATTGATTATTCATTAGTGAGTTGAATAGGGCTCAGTCTGACAGTTAATCACAGTATTAACCTCTGGAATTTGCACAGTGATCACCACAATTTTCTTGCTAATTCAGCTTTCAGGCAGACCCAAAAAAGCCCATCGGGGGCCACATCCTTGCTCATGCTTCCACTACCAGGATCAGTTTGAGGAAAGGGAGAGGGGAGCTGCGTATTGCCAAGATCTATGACAGGTAAATCACCTTTCCCTCACAGGAGGGAAGGTGAATGAAGTTCAAGGTACTGAAACTTTCTGGATTCTACATTGGGAGAAAATCTGAAAGGACAAACTAATTAACAGATTAAACAACTCATTAAAGTTGTCTTGCACATTGCATACATTAAATAACATAATCGTTCATCATAAATCCTACTAGATGCTCAGCTCTTAATGAAGACCATCAAGTACTTTGGTAGGACTGGTGGTCCCTTGGCAGGAAAATTCTGGACATATTAAATTCCTAAGTTTTCCTGACACGATAATTTCACATTTTCTGCCCCTGATGATATTGGTCACGTTCTACAGTTTGCACATAGGTATAAAGGCACTGAGGTATTCCAGGTTGCTAACACACACACAACATTTTGGAGACTGTTTCACAACTGCATTTTACATGGAGAGACCCACAAGTTTCTTGTTTCTTTTTCTCCCAGCCCTGAGATGCCTGAAAACGAAGCCACATTTGCAATAACTGCCGGAGGGATTGGGGATGCCAAAGAATAGGTTAAAAAATGATGTAAATGTACAGCTAAAAACCAGCTGGGCAGTTGAGATGAAGATTTGTGAAAGCTCAACAACTACCTGGCTGCATTTGTAGCTTTTTGGAGATATTTAAGATATTTTGGGAGAAAACTGGGATGGACTTCGTACGGTTCGGTTTTGCTGAACTAAAATTTTGGTCATTTAGGATTTTTGTTTTTCAGTTGAACTTTTAGCACGCAAAGATTTAAGCCATTAGATTGTGAATTGTTCTTAGAATCCTTTTCCTACCTTGTGTGAAAATCAAACCTGTCCTTTCACATGGGAGTGAATATACTCTTTCTTAATTTATTTCAAAGAGAGTGTCTAAGCGGAAGAATTTAACAGTGTGAAATGCAACAGAACTGGAATAAACTCAGTTATAAAATTGACATATATAGATGGAAAAGGCAGTGGGAGGAACAACAGCTCAAGAACTTGATGGATTTTCACATACTGTAGAGGAACAAGTTTTAAGAATATGTTTTTAAACATTTTTATCTTGACTAGATAATGTTCATGTTTTTATTTAGCATTTTCTACTTTTTGGACAGAATGTTTTAAACCTGTTCTTATTAAAGTTAAAAATAAAGACTATGAATTAGAACAGAAGTCTGACTATGTTTGGGTGCTTTGAATTAAACTCTCCTCTCAAAAATCTCATTGATCTTTCATGAGAAAAATAATCTGGGTGTAACCCAGTACCTTAAAACCTTTTTTCTAGTTCTCTATAGAAACAAACTTGATATAATTGACTTGTCATTCTTCTAGTATAAGTAAGACTATTAAAGATTACTATTAAGTAATATTAAATATTGTTACTATTAAAAAGAATAAAACAAATCCTGTGGCTAGATAAGAGAGGCTGGCACCAGTGCTTACACCAAGGAAAAGGCACTTAACATTCAGCTTGCTGAGGGAGCCAGCCAGCACAGGCACAGCTCTGAACTAGCAGGAGATGTAGGTCACAGGGGGCAAAAGAAGAAGCTGGGAACAAAGAGAGAAACAGGGCACTGGGGGCCAAAATAACAGTTCCTTTTACAATATCTCCAATGCTCATGGAATTGCTTGTTTTAAATAAATTAAACAATACATACATGCACACACACGGATATAATGGGGAAGTCTTACTTTGTTCTCTGGTAATTACAAGGAGTCTGATTTTGGTATTTGGTCAAAGAAATTGTCCTCACTGGCAAAAGAATTTTTTTGTTTAGATTACCAAATGCATGTAAGATAACATCAAGAAAAAAGGCAGCAATGACCAGAAATTCATGGAAGAGAAGCCTGACATTTTAGCCAGGCTTTTCCTTGTGACAGACCTAGAGGGCTTAAGGAAGTGTTTCTTAACAGATAGTTGGTATTTTTCCTGAGGTAAAGCACTATTTTTCACAGTGGAGAAAAGTCTAGAGAGCTGTAGGCTGGAAAGCTGGTTCATCTGGGAAAGCCAGGAATGGATCAGCCATTGTCATTTACCGCAATGTCCAGTGCTTTGCATGTGCCAGGCATTCCCACACTAGGCATTCTTATCCAGTGGCCAAGTACCCAGTGGCAGTGAGCGTGCAGTGTCGCTTGACTCCCTGCCACCCACTTCAAAGACCCAGGTTTCTTACAGAAACATTCCTGCATTTTATTTTAAGCACTCAGATTGCTTTTTGCTTTCCCACACATGCGATACATACATACATATATATATGTATATATATATATATATATAGCATGTGATACTAAAATGGGAATTTGCGTGTCATTCTAGGCTGTTATTTTTATCCAAGGGTCTGAAAGTAAAGGGGCCTTGCTTTCCCTTCTGCCAGTGTAAGCATCTTTTGCGAACCTGAGAGCCCAGAAATGACTGCTGATAGCGATAACACGGTGTGGGCCGGGGCTGTGTTTGGCTGGTCCAACCCCGCCATCCATGGGACACGGCTCCTCGTGCCAGGACACAATGCCTAAGGTAGCACACACACAGCACAAAAGGATTTACGGTCTGTGCTGCGTGATCGCCTCGTGGATGATTCTGCCTTTCAGCGAGGAATCTCTGGCTCATATGGGGAATTCTCCCCCGGCCTGCCGGCGCTCAGGCGACAGCAAACATCATGGCCGCTGTCACTCTTTTCCTGTCCCCGCGCCGCCCCGTGATCCCCCTGCTAATCGGCAGGGAATAACCTCGGCCCGCCGGAGCCGCCGCAGAGGTCCAAAGGGCCGCTCCCGCCCCGTCGCCCAGCGTCCCTTTATTGTTCCGCCATTGTCCCATCATCGTGTCCTCGACCCGCCGCCACCTCGGCGGAGCCCGTGGGCGAGTAGACGACGGGCCGTATTCTTCAAACCGTCTGCGAATCCAGCGTAACCCTCCGGCCCGGCCTGCACGGTCCGCGTAAGAATGTTACGCCATGCGCACCGGGCTCTTCCCGACCTACGCCAGCCTGAGTTACGCACCTTGCGTTCGCCGTGCACTTACGTAACGTGCGCCTCGGCCCAGGTATTCCCTGCCCTGCAGAAGGGGTTACGGAGAGCGCTCCTTGCGTAGCTGACTTTGGGGAATAGCGTTACGCCTCCCCTCCGCCTTCTTCACGCAAGACCCCGACTCTAAGTAAAGAACGTTACGCACTTTTCGTAGCCCGCCTGCCACTGCACGGGGCGGTGTTTCGCCGAGCGCGCTTAGTGCGTAGTTGAGTTCCGTGAATAGGCGTAGGTGTTTCGGAGGGCCGCAGTTTGCGCAGCTCCGGGCTGCCCGTAACGTAAGCGGAGCGGGCCGGGGCGGCGGCGGCCATTTTGTGCCGGGAGCGCGGAGGAAGAAGACGCTGGTGTCTCCACACTGCCCGGGCCCTGGAGCCGACCGAGAGCCCCGCCGTTCCGGCCGCTGACGCCCAGCGGGTCTCGGACCCACTGACCACCTCTTCTCCTTTTGTGTCCCACCAAAGAGGCGAGGTGGCGCAAAGCGAGGCCTCCGAGGCGCAGCCGCCCCTGGCTGGACCCTCTCCCCGTACCCCCAGCCCCTCGCCGTCCCCACGGCCGGCGTTCCGCTGCCTCTCACCCACCCCTCCGGGGGCGATGAGAGGCTTCGGGGACCGGGGCCGCGACCGAGACCGCGGCGGGTAAGGGGGAGGGGGGGGCGGTGGGGGAAGCCGAACGCCTGCGTTGGGGGGCGGGGGAAGGCCGCGGCTCGGGGGCTGTGTTTGGAGCGGCGGTGTTGGGGGAGCCAGAATCCCGTCTGTGGAGATTTCCCCCCCCCATAGATTCTCGTGTGGGGGCGGGGGTAGTTGGAGGTTTATCTGTTCCCAAGGCGGGGTGGTGGGTTTTGAGTGTTTTGTGGGGTTTTAATTTTTTTTCTTTTTAATTTAGCTTTTCCACCGTTCATGTGTAACTAGTTCTGAGCCTTGCTTGCAGTTTTAAGGCCTGCATCCACCCTGCCCCCTTAATTATTTTCTGCCAGCCTCCTTATTTACCCCGCGAGACCCGTGTCACCCTCCCCCCTAGAAGCCACGAAGGTCTCGGTGGCCCTGGCAGGGCTGGCTGTCCTTCTGTCCGCCCTTCTGGTTGTCATTGCTCCTTCTGGACTTACTGGAAAGATGGCAGTGGGGGGAAGATCTCTCTCAGCTGCGCTCCTGGGCTTACCGTGATAGGAAATGGGGTTGGAAACGCTGCCTTGCGGGGCACTCGGGAGGGTGATCTCGGTCTGCCACGGCGCTGGACCACGCTTACATCGTGCTGCAGAAATTGTTCGTGTGGTTCTGTAAGGGCCTAGTGCTTGATGCTCTTGAATCTGTTCTTTAAAGGAGGTTTGGCTTGCAAAAGGCTTTTGCAGGTTTGATTTGATGTGATTTTTTTACTCTGGACAATGACAGCAATAAATACTGTGGTGTTATACTGCGTAACTAGGTTGTGTCTCGAGGTTTTGAAGTGTTGAAAGTAATAAGGTTTTCGTGCCGGGCCTTTTTAAAGAGAAAGTTAAAACTAATTTCTGAGGGTGGCATTTTCAGATCATGAGTAGTTCTCAAGGATTAGCAAAAAGCATAGTGTGGGTTCTGCTATATGGTAAACTCGATCTCAATTAATGAGTCTTCTCTCCTTTTTTTTTCCTTTTTTTTTTTCCTCCCTCACTTCCTTTTCCTCTTGTTTTCCCTCGCCACTGGGAGATTAAGGAATATTTTGCTATGCATTGCAATGCACTTTGACATTCCATTTCTTGTCAGCTGTGGAGGGAGATAGTTGTATCATTGCTTTATCTTACACCCACATTTAACATTCTGAAATTAAAAGATACTTTCATTTTTTTTTTCACAGAGAGGAGGGTTCTGGTGTTTTTCTGCTAAGAGATTTCCAGCTCAGTTTAACACAAGGACATTGGAGTAAGCGCTTTGGCAAGTCTGAGATAGATCAGACCACAGCTGTTTTTGGAGTTTAGTGAGTGAGTTTGAGTATGCAGATTTATATACAGTTACTTAAAAGAGCACTGGCCAAAGCGTTGCCACAACACTTGATGTGCCTTAAAATTAGTGTTATTTAATTTTCTGTCAAGTCTTTAATTATAGTGGATGCTTCTCTTTTAGATCAGGAGTTTTGCATGAGTAAAAGAAGTGCCTACATGCTTCTTTGTGAAGTTTGTGGACATTTGCATGAATTTTTTTTTCTTTTTTTTGCATATTATCCTGGAAGCTTTAATGCATTAGGATTCAATTTGTTACATACATCCTTTTAAGGTATGAAAATATTTGTAACCACTAACAACTATCTTGCTTCATAAATAACCTGTATAAAATATTGGGCCACCCAGCGTGCTGGTTCAGCACCTTTTGAGAGTTTATCAACCACTTCTTTTGTAGTCTAATCACATAAAAGGGTTCTGGTTTTCTCTTGTCAGGAATGAGCTGTAGGTGATTTCTTAGGATGGAAAATTGTTATGTTTTTCTCTGGAATGTATCAGATTTAGTCAGTTCTGTCCCAGAAGTGATGGCACCAGTAAAATTAGGGAACACTGTTTTGAGCCAGCCTGAATTTACCTTTGAAAAGAGAGCTGTTGGCAAACCAGGAATTACTAGATTTAAGTCAGTTGAATTGGAGTTGGAATCTCATTTGACTTGCAGTCAGAATGTGAAGTGTCAGTTACTGCTGGTTTAGCAACAGAACCCCCACAGAGCAGCAGCATTCAAGGGCTGCTGTAGGCTCCTTCCTTTCCTGGATACATGTCAGTATCCAGGCATGTTGTGTGTAAGAGTGGAGAACTGTGACTGTGTGCCTTCTGTGTAGAATGTGTCATTTTCTCCCTCTGGGTAGCTTTGGGGCAAGTTCGTGGTGCCAGCTGTTGCAGTGCCCAGCCTTGCAGGCAGCCCTGTCATATGTTTCCTTTTCTAAGGGAACTCAGTGGCCCTTTGAACCTCTGGTGGACTTGAGTGAGGTTATGGGTTTTGTAGGAACTGTTTTGTAGGAATTGTTGGCATTTGTGGTAACAAATATATCACTGAAGGTGAATGCCCCTGTAAATTAAAGTCTGTGCCTTTTTCTATTCCTTTGTCCTGAAAGGAAACATAATGCTTAAATGCATTTTGAAGTTGTGTTTCACAGTGTTTTTCATAAGAGAAGAGTTGATGGCTCTGCAGGCTGTCTGGGGGATCTGATAGACACACAGATGAGAAAATAAGGGATATTGATGGGAAAGTGAAGAAGGCTAAAGCACAGTTGGAACACAGCAGACATTTTAAAACTAGCTTAGCAGGTTTTAAGTTCAAGTTCAATTGTATCTACCACATACTTGGCCTTTCCAACAATTTAACTGCTTCTTCCTGCTAAAATGTTGATTTGAGTACAGTTTCTTTGGTCTCTTAGTCACTATAATTTATAGTTTCCATTGGGAAGTGATTTAAAGAACAAATGTACTTCATGTTGATAATTCAGATTTTTTTTTCCAGCTCTTGTTTATTTTTTGGTAACTCTTCCACCCCCTATTTCATCCACAAGTTACTTCTGTAAGAATGTTGCTTAGAGATTTTTGTTGCTTTCAGTTTATTTCATTACCATGTTTTTGTTTACTAGTGGACTGCCTGGGTAGGGTACAGATACTTTGGTTTTGCTGTCTAAAAGTTGTTTGAAGTGGGCATGTCTCATTAATTCATGTTTTGCATAAAGCTGTACCTTTAGGACAAAAATGGACTTGACAGCATTTTGAAAAGTTCTTTCTGCTGAGCTGGTACAATACTGACGGAAGTGCTGTAACTATTTTTTGGGGTGTGTTATTTTGAAGTGCAGTTCATGATATTTACAGTAAATAAACATATAATGCCACTGGGTTTTTAGTTACTCTTACAGCTTACTGCCACAAGCTCATGTTTTGACTATTGCATTAGCCAGTCATTACAGTTAGTTCTTACCTTCTGAAGTGTAATTAACTGGATAAAGAAAACATAGAAAGAGCAGTAACTTTAGAATTGTTCTGCTAGAACAGAATTTTTTTTGTGAACATGAGCTTCTTACTCTCTTCAGTCTTTATCACAATGCATTTCAGAGAGGATATGATTTTTCCCAGGTTGTTTTTGTTTTGTTTTGTTGTTTTTTTTGTTTTGTTTTGTTTTTTTTTTTTTTTTTTTTTCTCCTGTTAAGCTGTGTTTTAAAAAAAAGGTTTTTTTAAAAAATGTTGGTAACAGAATTGCAGATGGACTTGCAGGCTTGGCTGGGCTTGTTTACTTTCTGTTCTTCAGTCTGTTGTTTTTCATTTGAGGCATACTTCTTGATAGGAAGGAAGGGAGAGATGATATAGAGGGGGAGATAGTGAAACAGCTGTCTAGTGTAAAACTAACCTTGAGAGACAGAGAAGGAATTTGCAAGGAGAGATTTTTCTCATCCCTTTCATGTAACTGTTGTAAGTGCACTGTCAGTTTCAAGACAGATGCTATAGGTGTACAGCAGCCATGTCCTAGAGGCAGGAGCTTTAAAGGGGTGAATTACAATAACATGGTTTTAGGATCAGAAACAAGCCAAAGCAGCTTTGTTATTTCGGGAAGTTTTATACCATCATAGTGTTTGGGGGGAGGTGACTTACTAGAATGTTGTGCTCATATGTCAGCTTGGGGAGAGCACAACAGAAAATGCTTAAGAAAATTCCACAGTAATTCTAGAATAGTTTTAAAGTACTGGTTATATTTTTTTAAAGTAACTAACATTCACATTCACAGGTTTGGAGCAAGTCGTGGAGGTCCTCTTCCTCCAAAGAAATTTGGTAATCCAGGGGAGCGTTTACGTAAGAAAAAATGGGATTTAAATGAACTGCCCAAGTTTGAGAAGAATTTTTATGTGGAACATCCGGAAGTGGCCAGGCTTACTCCAGTAAGTGCTATTTGTCTACAACAGAAAATGTCACAAGCTGAAAAACTTGTCCTAGGAAGTCTGGGACAGCACATAAAGTAGAGCTGGCTCTTCATTAAGCTTGTTTGGCATGTGTGCTCTGCTGGATACTGGTTCTGGTTGCCTTTACTATTTAACATCAGCAAAGGATGTGCTTCTCTTCTTGATTGCTTTTATATGAGATAGTTTATATTTTGTCATTCGTAATGCATCTTTATAGTGCTTGTCTGGTCTGGCAGTTTGTCAGTGAAGATAAAACTTAGAGTTACAGTCCTGGAGAAGCCCTGGAAAAATGTAAGATAATGAACTAAAAGTGACAGAAATACATGAGAAAGGTTTGAAAGTAGTATTTTGTCATAAGAATAATTTGAGCTGAAAGAGGCCTTGGGGGACATCTCTGGTCTAATCCTCTGCTTAGAGCAGCACTAATGGTAGAA